CTATTAACTCTGCAGAAACCACCTGAGAGCCACGCAGCCACCATAAACACCACACACCACCTGAGAACCGCACAGCCACCATTAACCCCACATTTTGGGGTTTAATAAGGAGTTGCGCTAATATTGCGCAACATAAAAATTTTCAACTACCACCATTTTATTCTATAGGGTCTTGGCATTCAGAAAATATATAATGTTGGGGGGTTTTACGTCATTTTCAGGCCTAAAATGTGGAATATAACATGGGTGCAAAAATTGAAAATAATTGATTGTGTTAAATATACATTTGGAATTAGTAATATAAAAATATGACAGCCAAGAAAATCAACTTATTTTTAATTTGTCATTTTTGCAAAGTTAACCAATACTTGAGTGAATTTCAAATTTGACTTTCAGACTTGATACAAAAATACCACCTGTAGTAGTAGCCTGGAACTACAAGTAGGTGCACAACATCATTATTGTACATAAACAAGCTGTATCACAATGAACACACGATACATCTAGGAAAACCAATTTAAGGTAGTTTATTTTATATCCATGAATAAATTGGATTTATAGTACATTGTATAAGACAAACAGAAGGAAAAACTAACTTGGTGCTCCAGTTCCTTAGTCTAACAACAAATCCCCAGCAGGGAGAGTGCATCTACTGTATAGGTGAGGTTATATTTATATTATTGTGGGCTTTGTGCAGTTTTCTGAAAGGTTTGACCATTATTAAGACTTTCCTTCGGGTTCAGAGGTTAACTGAGCTTATTCTAGAAGATGTGTTGTGATCTCAATATCGAAAACTCTTAGTGTACCAAATCATTTATTGCTGAGTGCGTTTCTTTCAGAATAGAAATAAATGTAACTATGATGCTGGACCGAGCACCTTTTAGATATCACGCTTCTAAAGAGAGAACGGATTCAAACAGACAGAGGTTATGTCAAAGAACGCTGGGTTTTCTTTGCTTCTAGAGGGGCCTCCAATTTATTGCTCTAGACTAAGTGCAGACATAGGCCTCCCGAGCAGCAGAGATATGACATAGAACTTTATTTCCAAATAAAAGCGCTCTGAATCCTTTATGTTCCTGGTTCCAGCTGCATTGAAGAGGGTGATGTCCTTTCCTGGCTCCAGGTACATCTGAAGTAGAGCTGAAAAAAAAACCTAGTTTAGCACCAACCATGAAAACATCATTTACACTGGAATAACATTACAGTCTATGGTCCTGTCTCTTAAAATAGGGCATCCTTCCAAGCCTCCTGGAAAAACAATCAAGAAAATTGGGTTTACATGTACTTCAACACCAGCCCTCAAGTATTTTCAACAGGTTATGTTTTCAAGAGTTTGCACATATCAAAAGATAAGTAAATGGATGAAATTGGGAACAATTAAAATGAGAAACATTGGGTTGTCTATCAGTAGCTGGCCATAGTTAAGGCTTATACTCAAGAGTATTCTCACATGTTGGAGCGAACTTCTTTTAGTGCAATCAGGCACAGAGTATAAATGTATCCCCATCAAACTGTTTACTGTGGTGTCAATCTTTGCTGATTAGTTGAGGCACTTTAAATGCTCTAATGAGTATTGAAGATGCATTACGTATTTGTGGGTGCTGACTCTTGTGTTAACAGCAGTTTCATCATGGTGGCAGGATATGTGCACTGTGGTGCAGTAAAGAAAACTCTAGTAAGAACCTTTAGACAGTGAATAGCATCCACATAACTAATGTACTGAGGTCAATTGTTAGGACTAGAGTGATAGCACAGCCATTGAAGACCATATTCCAGTTTGAAAGAATGCTGGGCAAAGCCTATTAGTGCCAACAAAAAGTAATCATGTATGCAGTACATAGAAAGAGGTGCTGGAAAGAATTGGTGCTTCACTTCGCTAAAACAGCTAGCTACATACCTCATACCGTATGTGCTGATTATTGGACGGCTGATCGCACGCACGCATTGATCTTTCCCCTGTACCTCTACTCCAGTACACACACATTGCTCTTTCCTCTGTAATCCCTGCTTCAGTGCACACACATTGGTATTTCCTCTGTATCCCTCCTCCAGTGCACACACATTGGTATTTCCGCTGTATCCCTCCTCCAGCATGCACACATTGGTATTTCCGCTGTATCCCTCCTCCAGCGTGCACACATTAGTATTTCCTCTGTATCCCTTCTCCAGCGCGCACATTGCTCTTTCCTCTGTATCCCTCCTCCAGTAGGTAACTCATGGAGTACAGGGGTCATCAGTAGGTAACACATGGAATACAGGGGTCATGAGTAGGTAACACGTAGACTACAGGGGTCATCAGTATGTAAAGTATGGAGTACAGAGATAATTTGAAACCAACCCCTCTTCCCAGTACAATTACACCTCCCCCAGTACAGATCCACCTCCCCCTAAAGCCCCCCTAGTACAGACCTCCTACCCCAATACAGACCCCCCCCAGCTCCCCAGTGCAGACCCCAGACCCTCTGAAGTAAACTTGCCAGACCTCAGACACAGCGGCATGGCACAGTGAGCGCGGACATCCTTTGTGTTACATGCTACTCACATCAGAGCTGAGGAGGGGCTTAGGGAAGCTCTCTGCAGTTCTGTAAACACAGATACTGCCACTGTATTTGAGGTCTCAGATGGCTGCAGTGTAAATGGCACTGCAGTGCCACAGAAAGAAAAAAGGGGCAATGAGGTCTAGTAAGTTTACATCAGAGGTTCTGGGGTTTGCACTGGGGAGGTGGGGGGTAAGTCTGTATTGGGGGAAGTTGACCACCCGTTCCTCCTCAATAAACTCCAATACCTTGGCCTCCAAGACTCTGCTCTCTCATGGTTCACTTCCTACCTATCTCAGTGTAGCCTCAGTGTCACCTAGAACTCTACCTCCTCCTTTCTTTTTCCTCTTTCCGTGGGGGTCCCCCAGAGCTCTGTCTTTTGGCCCCTTCTATTCTCTATCTAAACCTCTTCCCTTGGTCAGTTGATAAACTCCCATAGCTTCCAATACTATCTGTATGCTGATGACACCCAAATCTATCTTTCCACCCCTCAGCTCACCCCTTCTATCTCCTCACGCATTACTAATCTACTCACTGACATTTCAACATGGATGTCACACCACTTCCTAAAACTAAATCTGTATAAAACTAAGATTTTAATATTTCCTTCACTCCTTGTCCCCTCCCCCGACTTCTCCATCACAATCAACAGTACTACGATCAACCCCTCCTGTCAAACCAGGGTGCTCGGTGTAATCCTTGATTCGAACCTCTTTTTTTCAGCCCCACATTCCCATCACTATCCAAATCTTGCCAACTCAACCTCTGTAACATTTCCAAAATTCGCTGTGACGTCACGGCCAACTCTGCCCAGTTGTTATTGTTTAAAGACAGATCAGCATCCCCAGGTAATTTGGGTGGAGATCGTTCGGCTTCGGGCTATTGTGAATAACCCGAAGCTCCGGCAGCTCACTCGCTGCCGTTCGCCCCTATTCTCATAAATGAAAAACATTGGGCGGAGCTAGCGGTGACAACTGTTTCCTATTGGCCGGCACCTGCCAGAGTCTTCTAGCAGATCCCGGCCAATGAACAACAACTGGGCGGAGCCGGCTGTGACGTCACAGCCAACTCTGCCCAGTTGTTATTGTTTAAAGACAGATCAGCATCCCCAGGTAATTTGGGTGGAGATCGTTTGGCTTCGGGCTATTGTGAATAACCCATACAGCACCCCTTCAGTTCGACTGAACCGAAGGGCAGAGGCGGCCGAAGCCATGGCTGGATCCTTTGGCTCTTTAGTGAATAACCCCCTTAGTTTTGTAAATGGCCACCAAATGCATTTTGGAGCATATTTCTCTGCCCCTGTCATTCACTTGTATAGCTATGACCATATTTGTTTGTGATTTTGTTGCTAATTATGTAAAAATCAATAACCATCTTTGTGTGTCAAAAGTTTAGCTTTTCTTCCTGCTTCCATACCCTACATATTCGTCTGCACAAACTGCCTGCTGTCATAGCTTCCACAATTCTCTCCTACACATTCTGCCCCCTGTCATACCTCCAGGCTCCTCTAAAGCAAATACTGCCAATTGCCATACCCTCTGCACTTCTCTCCTGAACATACTACATGCTGCCCACTTTCATACTCTCCATACTCCTTTCCTGCACATACTTCTCCCCCGTAGTATCCTCTTCAATCCCATCCGGCACATTTAGCCTGTAACCATACACTGCACACTCTCCTGCACACATTGTCCCATGGAATACCTTCTGTACTTCTCTCCTGTATATAATGTCTACTGTCATACCCTTTGCACTCCTCCTACACATACTGCCCCTGCCATACCTACTGCACTCCTCTCCTACACATACTGCCCTTTTTAATACCCCTCCTACTCTGTTCCTGCACACACTGCTTGCTGACATATCCTCTGCACTCCTCTACTGCATACACTCCCTGCTGCCATACCCTTTGTACTCCTCTCCTACATATACTGCCTGCTGCCATACCCTTCATACTCCTCTTCTGCACATACTGCACTATTTCATACCCACTACACTCCTCTCCTGCACATACTGCCCACTGTAATAACCTCTGAACCCCTCTCCTGCACATACTGCCTGCTGTCATACTTTTCACACTCCTCTCCCACAAATATTGCCTACTGCAATACCCTCTGCACTCCTCTTCTGCGTATACTGCCTGTTACCACGCTCTTCGTACTCCTCTCCTACACATACTGCCCTTTATCATACCCCTTCTACTCATATCCTGCACAAACTACCTGCAATCATATCCTCCACACTCCTCTCCTGCATATACTGCATGCTGTCATACCATTTGTGCTCTTCTCCTGTATATACTGCCTGCTGTCATACTATCCACATTAATCTCCTGCATTTAATATTAATATTTAATAAATACATAGGTATAATTGGTGCCTTTTACAGTATGTATGCTTGAGTTCAGCTTTAACATTAAACTGTTTTATGATAACTTGTATGTGGAAACACTCACTAAATCTTTAATTGCCTTTTGTTTTGGGACCTATTTGTCTTCTACAATGGTTATGTGGCCACTGTGCTTTTTCTCTCTTGATTCCTTGATGTCTGAATTTGTTTGTCTTGCGGATATTCCTAAAAGTAAAGAGAATGTACATGATTTCAAATCTCTGGATACTCATACCATATTTTATAGAAGAAATGTATTTCAAAGAAATTAAACAGCATGACGTACTGAGTTAGCAAGTAATCCCATGAACATATGTATACAACTCAATATGTTCTGCCACAAATGTAAACTTAATGACCAAAATAAGCTGATCTCACTAGATCATATAGTTGTTTTACAAACCAGAGGAATCCATTTTGTTGATTTGGTTCTACTGAGTTTTTCAATTGTTCTTGAAATTGTGCTGGTAGAATTAAAATGGATGTAACATATACAACATGGTTGGTGTTAAAGCAGATACACTGTTTCCCCGAAAATAAGACATACCCCAAAAGTAAGACCTAGCACTATTTTTCAAGATTCCTGTAATATAAGACCTACCCTGAAAATAAGACCTAGGGGTCTATTCACAAAGCTACCGAAGGATCTGGCCGTAGCTTCGGCCGATCCTTCGGCTAGCTTCGGCACCAGGACCCCTTCGGTTCAGGAGAACCGAGGGGGTGCTGTACGGGCTATTCACAATAGCCCGTACAGCTCCCGATCACGGCCTAGGATGACAGGGGACTCCCTCCAGACCTCACAGTGACAGGGAGCACTCCAGTACCATACTTCACCAACTGCTGTCTCCCTGAAGGCACTGCTTAATGTAATGGTACTGTACTGTAATGTGTACCGGTAAATGGTACCATACTTTACTGCGCTGTCCACTGTCTGATGTCCCCACTGCTGCACCGCTGGTACCGCTGTCCCTGATGGCAAAGTATGCCAGCGTTGTAGAAAGCAAGGCTGCGGCGTCGGAGGAAGCAGAGCCGCATTAGCAGATACTTTCTCTATAGCGCCGGTTACTGTGACAGGCGGAGTGATACTAGATAACTTTTGGATTGTTGTACATGAATAACTTTAGATTGTTGTACATTTTGTTGCACAGTAAAAAAATAAATAAAGACATCCCCTGAAAATAAGACCTAGCGTGTTTTTTGGGGGCAAAAAAAAAAAATAAGACAGTGTCTTATTTCCGGGGAAACACTGTACTTACCTGTGACTAATAGGTCGTTCTTGAGTCATTATCTGCTGTGACCATTATAGACATGTGGCATTCTCCTCTGTTACTAATGAGCATCTAATACAGTATTTACATGAAATAGATCAGTTTACTTTACCTTCTGAAGAGTTTGGCTGATTATCCTGCTGTCTCCCTGGTGAGTTATTCTCCTGTTGTCCATCCTGCATAAAACAGCGACATGAGCTCATCTGCTGAGACGCTTGAATTGGAGCTGTGTTACCATGGCAACAACACCCCAATTTGGGCCTGTTATCCACGCTGTTCTGGCTCTGTGGGGTACTTTCATCTTCCGAGCTTTGTTTACACAGGTGATGCTCTGCTAACAGCTGCAGTTCTGAAAAACAGTAATGGTCAGGCCAAGGTAACAATAAGGCATACAAACTTCATGTATGGTCCAATCAATAGATGTAAGCGACAACTAAACATTAGTTTCTTAAATTACCACTAGATGTCAGTACATTCCAACATGTTTACCTAAGAAGACGATTGTTCATTATTTAGGAATACAGTTGACCTAAATGCAGTGCCAGGATAAGGTCCTCTAGTGCTCAAGGCGAAGGTACCAAAGAACAACCCCTCCTTACCCACAATTACATGTTACCAGCAGCACCTTATAACACATATTATCATTTTCAGCTAAATCCTTAAGAAACTACCGGTAAAATGTGCAAAGAAATTCTGTAATGTTTATAGTGCTCAAACCACTCTGACAGACCACTAAGCAACGTTCAGGTTTGACATGTAGGGTTAAAGATAGTTAAGCGGATCTTCCACTAAAGTGCAAGGTCCCCTTATGTGGCTGCTCCCCACCTCCTGCTGACAAAACGCTGCATTATAGAAAAAAATAAAATAATTACATGTGGTTTGGAATAGATGATTGTCATTGGATGCAGGATAGATTCGTCCAAGGACAATGACGTATTCCAAACCACATGTGATCGTATAACATATGATTACATATGGATTGTGAAGCGGCCACTGTCACCCACTCATTAACTTGAACTTGTGTCAGCAGCTGCAGCTAAATGGGACATTTGGGGTTCTGCCACAGGAATTCCAAATTGCATAGTGTGAGTATATATATATAGATATAGATCTACATCTATATATATATGTATAATGTATTGCAATGCAGAATGGCACCAGCTTTAGAGGACTATACATCTCAGCATTCATATCAGCAATACATTATACACAATGCAGAATGGCACCGGCTATAGGCGGACTAAAAATAGCAGCAATACAGTATACAGCAATGCAGAATAATACCATCAGCTATAGAGGATTACAATACCAGCAGAAAAATACTATTATTCTGCATTGGTGTATAATGTATTGCTGAGATTTGTAGTCCTCTATAGCTGATGGTATTATTCTGCATTACTGTATAATGTATTGCTGAGATTTGTAGTCCTCTATAGCCGGTGCCATTCTGCATTGCTCTATAATGTTACCAGAAAGGACCTCCATGGCAGGATCACTAGGTATAATTTTAATGAAAGCTCCTGGTCTGAAAACAGTGAAAACAACTTGAAATTACATTATTATGTTACTGTTAAAGCATGCATATTAAAGCTTCTGAGATTTTGTAGGCATTTGGGTCACATATTTCCAGCAGATAACATATTTCTCTAGAACACTATGCTGGACATTCAAAAGAACCTGGAGAATAGAAGGGAATGGAAGGAAGAGGAGAAGAGACAAGAGGAGAGGAGAAAAGGGAAGAGAAGAGGTGTTTTGGTACAGAGTTAACAAGGATTTGTAAACTGCTTTAGATTGTTTTGACAGTGCGGTGGAATACTGCAATTAACGGTTCAGATTTGACATGTCACCTTTCAAATATTTGCATTTCAGAATTTTAACATGTGTTCATCAGTAGACAATTATTCAAATGCCTGAAAAGATACGGAGGCCAGTGAGTGCCTTATTTTGTGAAGAACAAGGAGGTATCTCATGAACTGAAAACTGCAGGCTACTCTAGCTGTTCCTTGCGGTATTGTGTTTGTTGAACGAGTTTTCATTGCAATGGGTATCTTGGACAGACACAAACCAGAGGAAGGACTGTCAAAACAGAACTGTGGATTCAATACAATTTACATTACTCTTGTTTTGAATTGTATGTCATGGCAATAAAAGACAGTCACCTGCACATAGCAGCCAAATTCTAAAAGTGCCTTTAAATGGTGCAGCTCAGTGGCAGGAACTCACCCGTCTGAAATAAAAAGATTGCTTGCAGAATCAGTATTTGTGACCACTTAGGATCTAAAGAGCCTAGCCCAGTCACACAAGCACTAATGCATGCGCTAATAAAAACCAACATATAAACTACAACGTTTTTGTAATACATAAGGAGATAAATGCACTTAGAGGACACCCAGCGGCCAGCAATATAGGGAAATATGCAGAGCAGACTCCATGCAGATGGAGCTCTAGTTGAAAATACACCCTGGTAGTAATCACTGTACTAATCTGCTGTACTAATCTGCTGTGCATGTCCTGCACCAATTCTCAGACATCAGCATGGTGAGATGAATAAAAATCGATTGTTCTTCTCATTCATGAGCATAATAATCATATCCCTGATCCATCACAATCTGCTTTTTGTCTCTTCCCATTATAATGTATAGTCCTGAACAAGATTTTTTTAGCTGGACTGATATTTTAGTATTTTTTCATGCTTATAATCTTTCATACTTGCAATAATGCTTGATTCCTGATCAATCTAATCTATTGTATCTTTGAAGCCCAATACCAGGCCAAATCTTGTTTTGGAAAGAGCAGAGATGGGTTCGAGCTTCTGTCAGCTTATTAAAGCTATCTCGCTTAGGACAAGATGTGGTTGGAAGTCTCTCCAATGGGGACACAGATAAAAATAAAAACATTTTAGTAATATCAAGAAGGGTTAGAACTTCTGATGGTCTAATTGCAGCCTAACTGTGGTCTTTGCAGTCGCTCCCCTCATATCATAATTGGACCTTGTAGTGAGGGAAAATCTCCCCAGTTGGGTCACAGATGGAAATTAAAACCTGCCAGAAATGTTAAATCCTAGCGTTAGTGTTATCCAAAACGAATAACTTGGCTGAAACTGGCGTTAGGCTTTAAATGTCACCCATTGCATAACGGTGATTTCTATATAGTTGTGAACTTCTTTTTTTTTTCAGAACAAATTTGGGTACCTTTTTATGTTATATTTCTGTGAAGCTTTATCAGAGCCAAGGTTCTATTACAGTAAGTGGAATAAATAGATATTACTGGTATAAAAGAGGAAAGGCTGACATTTCTAATGCACACTAAGATGTCTGTTTGGACCAAGAAGAGGTGTGTAGACCTTGACCTAAAAAAATAAGCTGTTAGAGCCCATTTACATCTGTGTTAACGCGTGTTATGTCATGCATTAAGGTACGTTGCTGAAAGGAATGGGCAGCCTAACACACAAATAAAGGAGCATGCACCACTTTTAGCATTGATGTGCCCCAATGTGTATAAAGCAACAGTGTCAATCCAGCCTAAGAGCAAATAAAAAAATACCATGGACAGTAATAAACTATTACAGCAACCCTTAGTGGTGCAATGCAGAAGTAGGAAAGAATAGTGTAACACTTTGTTCCTGTCTCCATTGGGCAGGTGAAATCCTCAGGTATTATAACTCACACTCGCAGCAAAGAGGGGACTATTCTATGTTGCTTGATCTTTGCCTGCTTCCCTGCACTGCCCAACTTTGACAGCCAATTAGATACCCTACTTGGCCCATTTGTAATATTGGGCTACATTTTATAAATTTGCCAAAACAACTGTACCCAAGACCCTGTTCTGCAGCCCTTTATTATAATGTGTGTTCTACCAAAACAATACAGGCAAGTGTAGGAGCCCCGGATATGTCCAGGTCATTAAGGCCAGGGCGTTCATAGACAAGGGTAGATTTAAAAACAACATTTGACTAGGAGTTACCTTATAGCCATCTTAAAATGAACCTGTGCTTTGCCCATGCACTTTAAACATCCCCTGACCAGAAGCACATTGAAGGGAATTTATCAAAACTGGAGCAGACAGAATCTGGAGCAGTTGCTCATGGCAACCAATCATTTTCTCTCTTTAATTTTCAAATCTTAACTGAACAAACTGAAGAGAGAAGTTGATTGGTTCCTGTGGGCAACTGCTCCAGATTCTGTCTGCTCCAGTTCTGATAAATTCCCCCCATAGTCTTTTACTGCCCCACCACCCTGGCGGCTGGGAACAAGAGAAGTCACCCAGTGGATGGTATAAGTCACTCAAGCAGTAGCTTACACAAGAATATGTAGTCTCGCTGTTGCTTGGTGATTGATAAATAAAGGGTGTGCCTCCATATCCAGAATTACCAGATATTTTCTTTCCTCCCAACAGCTGAATGGAGCAGTGGGGGAGCTAAGAAAAGGTGTTTAAGTGCTGCTTACAAATTGCTGTGCAAACTGTTGGCGCTATATAAATCCTGTATTATAATAATAATAATAATAATAATAATAGTGTTAGCTCAGTTACGCTTCTAAAATTCTAGTGATTAATTGGTAAGAGTAGCAATTGCTACACAGGTGAACAAATGGCTTCCTATAATGTGAGCTACTCATGTAACAGTAGCATTTACTATGTTGAAGCAATTATTCACACATATTTGGACTGTTAAAAGTGTATCTAAACCCCAAACGTTTTATTTTACTTTTGGATTTTGTTATAACAAGTAGGTACAGTGAGGGAACACCCGTCTTAACTGTTACTGAAACAAGTGTCTCTTCTTTTCATTTTCCTTTTATTACTGTTCCAGTGACAGCTCAAGATATAGGATTTTCTGTTGGGGACAAGGGACACCAGGACAAATAGTGAGGGCTAATATCTCTAGCAGGGTAACAGACAACAAATAAAACCTGAAAGAGGTTCTAACCCTTCACTACGTTATACAAAAAAATGTTTAGACACAATGTAATTCCTTTAGAAAATCTCCAGTGTACTCTTGCAATCGGGATCTGTCCGTTCAAACACTGTGAGGAGAAGGCATCGAAAATTAAACGAACCAATCTGTACAGTATTCCTGTTAGCAATACATATATAATATGAAGATTATTATTGTAGATAATAAGAGTAAACTTCTGCAATAGTACAAAGTATTTAACTGCACTGACACAGATGTCAAATGTCACAGATGTTAAATGTTTATGAAGATTAATCTGAATAGAATTCATGTAGAATGTTAATTAGTTAGTACCATAATTACAAATTACTGTTTTAATAGAGTGTTTACTTAGATTAATCCATTCCTTTGTGAATTGTCTACAAAAAATACAAAGAACAGTTTACAAGATATCA